AGTATAGGAGATGAAGACCTACCTAATTACGGAGACTTGTGTAAACTAGGAACAGGTAGATACCAACATGAGGGACGAGAACCTTCGAGTCCAACCCTTTTGTCATTCAACATAGCTGTTCTGGCAGACAGACCATGGTTATACTCCTGCCTCGGACAATGACTCAATGATCACATTGTAGCCAAATTGGCCGCACTGAGTGAGAGGGGACTACACTCTGCGTTTATATCCGTCCTTCTATAAACACTCGGATTTAAGCTCTCTCGTTTTGGTTCAAAATGTTATGATACAATCCTTCTACATGCCGAGCGAGTGGGATGCGCCCCCTTTCCACGGGCTGAGTGAGTCAACCGCGAATATTTGAAATCCTGGCGGTTAGACCGTGAGAACACTTTATGTAGCTGTGATTTGCTCAACAATGCGCACTCGGGTTGTTATCATGCCTCCGATGCTTGATTTGTCTTCCTCTTTTTTTATTGGCAAATGAATCAGGTAGCTTTTTTCGATAATGACACCAGAAGAACTTGATTTTAGGCATCAAAATTTGCGGTCGCCGGAAATAAAGGGGGGTCAGGCAACAATGTAACGGATGCAATATCCCACGTATCAACATCACTCAAACGCTGAATCCCTTCCACTGTCATCGTAGACTAGTCGAGCATTGTCCAAATCCCCGAATCCCGTGTTCTCACTCGCGTGGCGAATTCAAAGGGCTGGTGACAGTGTAATCTCGTCCGATTCAGGGGGCGTGATGCTTCTCCATCAGATATTACAGATTCCGGACGCCCCATTTACGCCCTTTACCTCATGGCAAATACCACTAACCCCTATATTCTCATTCTAGGTGGCTTTGCACTTCTTCAAGTGCCCGTGAAGACCGAAAGGTATGGTGTTTAGACATTCTGATGCTGGCTAGGAGGCCAGGCAGTTTTACGAAGTACCTATACCTAGTATTATGTGTACCCCATGTGCGATCTCCGGCCCTTCGTACCGAAAATAAGATAAAAAAGTTAAATAATATGATTTACGATGCAAAAAATATTTCAAATTCTACATTAAAGGAAAAAGAATGATCTCGCCCGGGCCCGAACCGGGGACCTTTTCGGTGGTGTCAACAGATGTTGTTAACGAAATGTCATGACCAACTAGACCACGAAACCATTGGTTCCAGTTTGGATGCCAAGTATGGGTGTCTCCAGCATTCTTCAAAGATCCAAACTACAACTGACGAACCGTCTCATCATGAGATGGTTGTTGAAGCATATCATTACGAAACTATCTCGTTGATATGAACTTCGGGTAGGTGTTCCGGATGTCGGCAATGCTAAGAACCCGGACGGGGCCGTAAACAGGACGACCGCCGCCAATCAGTACATACAGAGAGTGGGAAGCGTATTCGGTCGTATTCACCCTGGGCTAGCGGCGAGGTTGAGACATTGGGTATTATTACGTGGCGCATCTTCTTGATCGTGAGTTGATGCCTATTCTGCGTTCTACTCATTCGGCACTAAGACGTTCGTCTGAATATGTAAATAAACTCAAGAGGGCATACATAACGGACAAATGAAAGAGAAGGCCATTTTGGGGGACTACCTTTAGAGCTATGTTGAGTCATTCGGAGAAGGATGACGAGCCATTACCACTTACGCAGTACGAAGTACAAATATGCTGCCGTTGCACCAATCCGCGCGAGAGCCGGACTGTAAAAGCACCCCGACCGAAGGATTGATCCACGCTCCTGATACGGCAGTTTAAACATAATCTTCACTCGATCCTTGCATAGTACATGGCTGTCGCTGGGTTGGCCTTCTGCTGCTGGCTGTCTGGTAATGTCGGGATTCAGCGGTTTAGATGAGTAACGGGGTTATGCCGTCGGAATTCGGGCTCGCATAGCAGGGGGACATGGCACTAAGCCCTTTGCTAACAACGAAAAGCAAACGAACGTTTATTACCACCTGCAAAGCAATGATTGATTATCTCGAGGGAAATTAGGCTTTAGTTGACTTGAATGATGCAAGCGAAGCATTAAATCAACAGCAGCTCTTCTTAACTGATCAGTGGTATTCAAATGATTCACAGGTATTATTCATCTGCCTAAGGTATATACGGTACTACTCCATACTGTAGAAGTCAATAGTTCCTTGCAACGGAACGGGAAATAAACGCATGACCACGTAAACCATACTCGGTGGTCGGAAAATATATGTGATATTTCGCTCCCTGGCCGCCGCACATAAACAAGCTTTTTGCCAGTTCGACTCCCCTATCATCCACCGCATGGTGCAGTAACCTTGAAGTAAGGGATGGCGCCCCTCCTATTCGTGCTGGCGGTCTGGATTTCGGCTACGTTCTGAAGTGCGAGAGTTGCAAATCTACCTTTAGGTACTAACGTCAGCTGACAATTCCTCATGATGTAGCGGATAAATATGTTATTTTCGCTTTCTGATGTGCAGGTAATAGAAAGGGCCATATCATGCATGTCCTCTTGACCACATAGTGATGGAACGTCAAAACGTGTCTTGCAGCGTCTAAGAAGCACATGGCATCACTAAGCACCCTGGAAAAGGCTGAATAAAATGCGACATGTCCCAGCCGCCGTTGGGTCGGGGTTCAAAGCTTCCACCGTATCGCAAAGTAGGGGCTCTGCTAGTTAAAGTGGCGGGGGAACACGATATGTTTTGTCATGGGCCCCTGCCTCAGCTGCTCGCAAAGTCGGAGAAAAGCCCTTCGAGAAGCGCCACCACTTTCATCGTGGCGCGTGCGGGATTCGGAGTCGGGTAGCGCCCCGGTGAGGCTCGAAGGATTGGATGCGCCAAACGAGGAGTCATTGCCGCAAACAGTGCTCCATAGTTGGTTGGTACTAGGTAGCAAACGTTGGTGGCACTAGGGCGATGAGTCAACTACCTAATACAAGTAAGGGGGAACAGAATTAAAGAAAAAGTAATAATGAGGAAATGATACTGCAGTATGTTGTTGTTATTTTTGTTCGTTGTTTGTCCATCTTAGAAGAAATGGGTTGACGTGAGATTGAATTGATCGTCGCCAGGGGGATGACGTCCTCGAGGCTGGTGGGCTTTGTTTGTCTCTCTTCAAAGGTACTACCTCTAACCTAGGTATGTACCAGTACCTCTTTGCGCACAACTGCAAGGACGGATGCGGGCGGTGCCGTGGTGATTTGTGCAAGCAGGATAAGCTGGTAATATTGCTGCATAAAAGCAGAGGCTTGCCGACTCCGGCGGAGATAAGGTATCTACCAGAAGTTCCTACATAGGTGGTGGTTGTTAGAGGATAGGTGAATGAATGCAACTGTTAGTGGCGAATAGAACATGCAGCAACTCGTTGTACTTCGCGAAAACTCATCAAGCATGGCACAACACTGGTTGCACATGTGCTACCCTTTGTTCTCAGCACGGTATCAACGTTGCTGTACTTGTGTCGGCAAGATGCCTCGAATCTCGCAAGTAGTGAGCGAGATACGCGTACTCGCACTCGCGCGGCGAGGACTGGAGACTGGAGACTGGATACGGGCCACAGCAGACGCCGTCGCTACGAATACAAGCAATGTGTATGGTGTCTTACTTGCATTTCGAAGACGATCACCGTTGAGAGTGAGTGGAAATCTCAAACATGGCCCGGCAGCATGAGACATGACGTGGTCGGATGCTTTGTATGTAGTAGTATTCTTATAATCCAATCTCTTTCGCCAGGTTTCGTCTCGTCTTCATCTGAAGCTGTACAAGGTCTCCCCCACTGTCGCCCGCAACAACTGCCTCTAAGCCTGTTGCGCTGGTGGACTCGGTCTAGTCGCCCGTTCAATTAATTGGCCGGGGAGAAGCTGCCTGACCAAATGAATTACACGTATTGCCAGAAATGGGTACTTCCGTTCTGTACCGGTACATACCTCCGTCGTACTTCGTACACGCAAGCGCACTCAAACAACTCCGAATCCCTCACCCGGCCCCGGCAACGAGGCCCTGCAGATAGGCAAAAGCGGACAGAGAAAAAGACACCGCTGCGTTGCGCAAAGGAGAAACACGTTGAACGAGTCTCCTCCGTGATGCGGCGCCTACCTACTGTAGAATTCCTGGCGCTGTTCCCCTCAATAAGCGAGAAACATCCATACCTGCGATGGATCGTATCGCATCGTACCAGCGCAGTGGAGTTGCATGTTTCCTCCTATTTCCAGCCTCTAGTGCCAAATGGCGGCCCTCAATCTCGCCAGCGCTAGGTTCGTCGGGCCCAGCCCAATCCCGTATCCCAGCTCGGAGTAGCCTAAGGACTTTTTTCTTCCCACCCCCGAACGCATGGGCTCGCTATATCCTGGAATGCGTGGCATTTCTGTCCCAATTACGGGGGTTGTACGTGTACCTACCTTATCTGTACGAGCATCGAAGGAAACGGACCAGGAATTTCGTACTCTGTGCGAAGGGCGCTAATGCTGTTTGGGCAATAATCGCAACTGTGAGTCGCGGGCCAGGAATCGTGCATGTCGTGTGTGGTGCAGCAGGCACCGGCTTTGGCTCTTTCCGACTCTGCTTCATTATTCACTTGCTGGGTGGGGCCGTGCCGAATCGATGCCTTCTTATAATCTAGGTAGTTGCTGCCTCCGTGCTTTCTGGATTCGAGCTTCGCTATATCTTTAGGCGCCTCGCCACCTTGGCCTTTTGTTTGCTTCTTGTCTGTTCCAAAGGCCATCGTCCATAATTCAAGACACCACCCTTGCCATATCCGCAGGGGCGCAGCTGTTTTGTCTTCCTTTTTTCCCTTTCTTTTTCCCATACGATACATCTCGTTTGATCTTGCAGCGCAACATCGACTCACTCTCGTTTGCTGGAGTGACGCGCTGCTCATCTCGTCTCCCCCCGGTCGGTAGAGCGAGGCCCCGATCCTTGGCTGCATCGAACTGAGCTGCACATCTCGAACCGGCATAATTCGCCTCTCTCTCGAATAGCCGCCATTTCTCCGTCTACCCGCCTGTGGCAGGCGCGGCAATTGAGACGATGACCGCCGACATGTCGGAAAAGTCGCCCATGGGCGCGCAATCAGTACCGACCTCTAGCCACAGCGCTTCTTCAGATCTCGATGCCACGCTTTCATCGAGACATGGCAAGGAGGCGGAAATCGACCTGAAAAAGATCGACTCCAAGCCACCTGCTCCTCCTCCTCCCAAGTCCGACGACATCGATGAGCTTTACGCTCATCTGCCTCCCAACCAGGCTGAGATCCTGAAGCGTCAGGTCTACACCCCGGAGATCAAGGCCGGAATCAAAGCCGTCTATCGATATGCCTCCCGCACCGATTTGGCCATCATCTTCGTGTCGTCCTTCTGTGCCATCGCTTCTGGTGCTGCCATTCCCATGATGACTATCATCTTTGGTAGACTCCAAAATACCTTTCAGTCATACTTTTATAGCGGCGGTAACATGTCCTATGATGAGTTCATCAATGAAATGAGCCACTTTGTCCTCTACTTCGTCTATCTGGCCATTGGAGACTTCGTCGTCACCTACATCTGCACCGTTGGTTTCATTTACACTGGTGAGCATATTGCTGCCAAGATCCGCGAACACTACCTACAGAGCTGCATGCGCCAAAACATTGGCTATTTCGACAAGATCGGTGCCGGTGAAGTCACCACACGCATTACGGCTGATACCAACCTCATCCAGGATGGTATTTCGGAAAAGGTTTCCCTTACCCTCGCAGCTCTGGCTACTTTCTTCACTGCATTCATCATTGGTTTTGTTAATTACTGGAAATTGACTCTTATCCTCTCCTCTACTGTCTTCGCCTTGCTTCTCAACGTTGGCAGTGGCGGCCGTCTTATGCTCAAGAACAACAAAGCTTCTCTCGAAGCGTTTGCTCAGGGCGGCAGCTTGGCTGATGAGGTTCTCAGCTCAGTTCGGAATGCTATTGCTTTTGGAACCCAAGATCGCCTTGCCAAGCAGTATGATAAGCACCTTGGGAAGGCTGAATACTACGGAGTTCGGGTCAAGTCTGCTATGGGCGTCATGATCGCCGGCATGATGCTTATCCTGTTTCTGAATTACGGTCTGGCTTTCTGGCAAGGCAGCAAGTTCATCATTGAAGGAATTGTCCCATTGTCCAAAATCCTGACCATTATGATGTCCGTCATGATTGGTGCTTTCCAACTCGGCAACGTCACCCCCAACATCCAGGCTTTCACCACTGCTCTTGCAGCAGCTGCCAAGATCTTCAACACCATCGATCGAATCTCTCCGCTCGACCCTTCAGACGACAAGGGTGAGAAACTTGCTGACTTTAAGGGCAACATTCGCTTGGAAAACGTTGAGCACATTTATCCCTCTCGACCCGAAGTCAAGGTCATGAATGGCGTGTCGCTTGAGATCCCTGCTGGCAAAACAACTGCTTTGGTTGGTGCTTCCGGATCTGGTAAGAGTACTATTGTTGGTCTCGTTGAACGATTTTACGATCCTGTCGGAGGCACCGTTTACTTGGATGGCCATGACATTAGCACCCTCAACCTGAAATGGCTGCGCCAGCAAATGGCCCTTGTTAGCCAGGAACCAACCCTCTTCGGAACGACCATCTATCACAATATTCGCCATGGCTTGATTGGAACGGAACACGAACATGCGACCGAGGAGAAGCAGCGCGAGCTCGTCATGGCCGCGGCTGCTAAGGCCAACGCTCACGACTTCATTTCTGCCCTCCCTGAAGGATACGAGACCAACGTTGGTGAACGCGGTTTCCTTTTGTCTGGTGGCCAGAAACAACGTATCGCAATTGCTCGTGCCGTCGTGTCAAACCCAAAGATTCTACTGCTAGACGAAGCCACATCTGCTCTCGACACCAAGTCTGAAGGCGTTGTCCAAGCTGCCTTGGAAGCTGCCTCTCAGGGCCGAACCACAATTACCATTGCCCACAGGTTATCCACTATCAAGGATGCCCACAATATCGTCGTCATGTCCCAAGGTAGCATTGTTGAGCAAGGTACCCACGATGAGCTGCTTGAGAAGCAAGGTGCCTACTACAACCTTGTTTCAGCCCAGAAGATTACTGTCGCTCAAGAGAACACTGAAGAGGAAGAGGAGATTTCCGAGAAGGAGGAGCTTATCCGCAAGCTGACCACCAACAAGGAGGAGTACACGGTTGACCCTGATGATGACATCGCCGCTAAGCTGGATCGATCTGCTACGCAAAAGTCGGCCTCGAGCATTGCCCTTCAGAAGCGCAAGCAAGAGGAGGAACAAAAGTACAGCCTGTGGACTCTTATCAAGGTCATCGCTGCCTTCAACGCCCCCGAGTGGAAACTAATGCTGGTCGGCCTCTTCTTCTCTACCATTTGCGGTGGCGGTAACCCAACCTCTGCAGTCTTCTTCGCCAAACAAATCGTCACTCTCTCGCAGCCCATCACTCCAGCGAACGCGCACCACGTCAAGAAAGACTCCGATTTTTGGAGCGCCATGTACTTGATGCTCGCCTTTGTCCAGTTCTTTGCCTTTGCAACCCAGGGTGTCTTGTTTGCCATCTGCTCCGAACGCCTTGTCCACCGCGTTCGAGACCGTGCTTTCCGCGCCATGCTGCGCCAGGATGTTGCTTTCTTTGACAGGGATGAGAATACCGCTGGTGCTTTAACGTCGTTCCTCTCCACCGAGACAACCCATGTTGCTGGCCTTAGCGGTGCCACTCTCGGTACGTTGCTCATGATGTCCACAACTCTCATTGTCGCCATCGTCCTGTCGGTTTCGATCGGATGGAAGCTCTCGCTCGTTTGCACTGCCTGCATTCCCATCTTGCTGGGATGCGGATTTTTCCGGTTTTGGCTGCTTGCTCACTTCCAGCGTCGCTCCAAGGCCGCTTATGCTGCGTCGGCAACTTTTGCTTCCGAGGCCATCTCTGCTATCCGGACTGTTGCTGCCCTCACTCGTGAAGAAGACGTCTTGAAGCTGTACCACGATTCGCTTGTTGAGCAGCAACGACGCAGTCTTAGATCGGTGCTGAAATCCAGTTTGTTGTACGCTGCCTCGCAATCGTTGAACTTTTTGGTCTTTGCATTGGGTTTCTGGTACGGTGGTACCCTGATTGGAAAGGGCGAATATAACCTTTTCCAGTTCTTCCTCTGCTTCATGGCTGTCGTTTTCGGCGCCCAGTCGGCTGGTTCCATTTTCTCCTTCGCCCCCGACATGGGCAAGGCTCATCACGCCGCTAGGGAGCTGAAGGTTCTGTTCGATCGTCAGCCCACCATCGACACCTGGTCAGAGCAAGGCCAGCCGTTGCCCGAGGTCGAGGGCAGCCTTGAATTCCGCGATGTTCACTTCCGTTATCCAACCCGCCCGGAGCAGCCAGTTTTGCGAGGATTAAACTTGACCGTCCAGCCTGGACAGTACGTTGCTCTAGTTGGTGCCTCTGGCTGCGGCAAGAGTACTACAATTGCCCTCTTGGAACGATTCTACGACCCATTAACTGGTGGTGTGTACATTGATGGCAAAGAAATCAGCACGCTTAACCTGAACGAATACCGATCCCACATTGCCCTGGTTAGCCAAGAGCCGACGTTGTATCAAGGAACTATCAAAGAGAACATTCTGCTCGGAACTGCGGACCCAGATATCACAGACGACGCCGTGGAATTGGCTTGTCGCGAGGCCAACATCTATGAATTCATCACGTCCTTACCCGAAGGGTTTAACACCATTGTCGGTAGCAAGGGAGCTCTGTTGTCTGGTGGTCAGAAACAGCGTATTGCTATTGCTCGAGCCCTTATTCGCCACCCCAAGATCCTTCTTCTTGATGAGGCGACTTCTGCTCTGGATTCTGAGTCTGAACACGTTGTGCAGGCTGCCTTGGACAAGGCTGCAAAGGGCCGTACCACCATTGCCGTGGCCCACCGTCTCAGCACGATCCAAAAGGCAGATGTCATCTACGTCTTCAATCAGGGCCGCATAGTCGAAGCTGGTACTCATGCTGAGCTGATGAAGAAGGACGGCCACTACGCTGAGCTTGTCAAGCTCCAGAGTCTGGCCAAGAACAACTAGCATCTTTCTCCCCTCTTTTCTGCTTTTTAAATTTTTTTTTTGCGCATGAGATATCCGGACAGCAAAAAGCTGCCCTATCCATCTATTGGCGTTCATTGGTCACATAGACAGAAGAAAGTGCATGCATTACACAGCCTTTCATTTCGGGAGAGGACGAATTCATATTTTGTTTCATAAAAGTTTGTATCTAATTGCGGTTACTCATGGTGTATTACCCAGGACCACACTCTTCTCTTCCATGTTACTCTTGTTTGATATTTTCATTTTAGTGATGAGACTCTAGAGGGTTGTTTGTTTTCATTTACGCAGTGTCACGGGGGGGAATGCAGGGGATGAAATACGGAGTCCCAAGGTCGGACACGCAGATATGTACGACATGAACAATGCTCAGTGCAGTAGATGAATGAATATCAAAACGATTCGAGACTTTAAAAAATGGCCTATGTAGTGATTGTGTTTTGAACCTTGTAGCGTGGCTTGAAATGTCTTGGGGGCTTCTGGTATCATATATGACGAGACCCTGGCTGTTGCTGATGCAGCTTTGTGTTTTGGTCATCATGCTTCTCTTACGTATGATCACCAGACCTTGGTGCTACCAACGCTAGAGGAGAGAATCGGTTACAAGAGACATGAGTGGAACAACTGCGAAAGGTCTCGGTGATGATACTTTCCCCTGAGATGGCATCCATGAGAGTGATTGCTTTGTTTAGACTGGGAAGTTGCTATTGTGCATTGCTGTCTGAGTATATATCGGGCACCTTTTCGTGTTTGATGATATCTGGGGTATCGACGGAGATGTGGTCTTGGGGGAGAAATATTATTGCGAGTAGGTATATGCGTGACGATGTATTCAATTCCTACCTCTGTAAGGACATTACAACCACCTAGTACTTGGGCGTGGCTTTTGGGCAAGGGCTGCTCCATCATACCGTGAGGCTGGAAGAATCTTCAGACGGAAGCCTATCAAGATTATAGGTACTGGGTATGTAGGAAAGCAAATAGGGATGTATAACACGGTTGAATTTTTATTCGGTTTCAGTAAGGGAAAAAAAGCAACCTAACTAAATCGGCTGCATTTTGCGTGTCCAGCGTTGGAGCTGCAATGTGAGGTGGTCCAAAAGGGAGGGCCTCTGGGCCATTAAAACACAATTTTCTCCTCTTTTCGGCTGTAATCAACTGTCAGTGGAGTTTAAAGATGTTTGGCTGACCTGCATATATCTGGGATATGGGAAAAGAGCTTGGCAGCTGTCCGCTGAGGATATATCTGGAGGGAGCAAGTTACAGAGTGCCCACCTCAATGGAAAGCAGCTGCTGACTTGTTGGCGATACAACATAACGCATCGTCAAACTCACTTGGCCCGTTGCAGCCTAAAAATATATTGAGCTTTTGGACAATAGAGTGGCATTATTGATTCTTGAATTGTCTATGAGAATGCTGTTTCGGTGCTTTCTTCTTCTTCTTTTTCTTGAGCGGGTCAATGCATATGGCATGCTTGAGTGATCGAAAGGTGACGAGCATGTCAAAAGCGCTGAAAGCAGCAGCACGCACTCGAGTAAATTATTCGAAGCGACTGTTGAGAATGATGTCTTCAACTCTCCTCGATCATATACTTCGCTTTATGCAGCATCGACCAAAGAAGCCAATATGAGATCGAGCAAGCACATCACCCGTCGCCCTTATATACCGGGCGCCCTGCTTTTGAGGGATATAAAACCCGGCTGGCAGCCTCTTGGACTCTGGAAACAAAACATGGGTCTGATTGAAAAGTCTCGTAAATTCTTCTCTAATTTCCTCCAGCCTCATTCGGATCCTGATTCTGAGAATACAGCCGTTAAACCTCCGGTGCCGAAAAGCGAAGGCCCAAGATGGAAACCGTTGAGGGGGCCAGCTATGATATATTCAGGGTTTAGGGGGGAAAAGAGAAAGAGAGAAAGCGACGATGGATGCTTTTATCGACAGAAAAACAGGTTGCTCAAAGGCGGCTGGATAAAGGCTGTCACGGAGGAGGAAATGGACTACGACGACCTGAAATGTCGCCCCTTGATCGAAATACTGTATCCTGAGATTGCTGAAGGCATAATGCCGGAAATTTGGCCGACGTTTGCAATAGAAGAATTGGAAGCCGCCCAAGCGAGATTGGAATCACAGGACAGTTTTGAATCACGGGACAGTTTTGAACCACAAGACACTTTGGAACCCCAGGATATTTTTGAATCACAGGACAATTTTGAACCTCAAGACAGTTTGGCATCACAGGACAGTTTTGAAGGTCTACCATCCGATTTGAGTTGTACCCTGGACAACCTCACAGTCATTGACGATGACGACATCATCATGTGGACGCCATATACAAGTTCCGAGGGTTATAGTGATTCTGAAGTATCTTGCATGGAAAGTATCTCGGAGTGGGGAGACACATACCTTGCAAGAAGACGCGATTCCGAGAGCTCAATCGAAGTACCTCTTTACCCCGATGTGGCTATTAATGAGCTTCCTATTGATAGCGGTCTGAGATCTGTACCGCCACAGCTGGATTGGGCGCCGAGCTTGACGGGACCGTTGACTGGGTTTGCTCCAGATGGTCACATTCCTGACACTTCTGACGATGGCTTTCTGAAAGAATTGTTTGAGCAGTGGCTAGAATATCGCATGAAGGCGCCTCCAAGATCTGAGTATAGTGTGAAAATGAGCGACGAGGTGGAAGACGTGAACACTGATGCCAGAGCTAAAGCAAAGGCGGAAGCGAGTTGGGACACGGAGATGGAAACAGAAGCCGTAATCGAAACTCAAGCCGGGGCCGAAAGAGAAGTCCAAGCTAGAGCTGGAGTTGGAGCCGGAATGGAGACCGAGTTTGAACCAAGAATGGAAATAAAACTGGAAGAAACTGGAGCAGTAACAACCGTGGACGAAGCAAACGTTAGAGAAAGGTCTGGTGGAGAGATTGAAGAATTGGAGATGGGAGAGGCAGATGCCAGTGTCAGTGGTGAAGCAACAGGGACGACTCTGGAACCGGGAGGGACAGAAAGAGAAACAGAAACAGCAACAGTAGACTACAGGACAGAAATGGAGGAAGCAGACAAGGAAAACACCAGACCAAAGGAAGCAGACGACGGTGAACGAGTGAGAGCCTACGAAGCTATCTCTGAAGACGCAATGATGGATGGCCTCGAGGAGACGACACCGGAAACGACACCGGAAACGACATCGGAAACGGTTTATATCAACAAGGTGGCAGGCGAACCAGAACCGAGAGCTCCAGAGCCAAAAACTCCAGAGCCACAAACTCCAGAACAAAATCCAGAACCGAGAGCTCCAGAGCGAAGAAACCCAGAACCGAGAAACCCAGAACCGAAAACTCCAACACCAGCGACAGTATCGGAATCGGCGCCAGAACCGACATCTCCAACGCCAGCAGCTCCAAAAAGAATGACTGCACTGAAGTTGGCATTTCGAACAGTGTATTCGCTATTCCAGCAAGTTGGCACCATTTCCGACGATGACTATGGGTTTGACCCATGTTTCCGCTGTCAGCGGATAGACGCGATCTTAATAAAACGCATCATAGACGTGCGGGAAATGGTGATGGAAGAGTTGCTGGACATTGACGAGGGCCTTCGAATTGTCGTGGAGTGTGAGACTAAGAGAAAGAAGGATAATGAAGATGGGGGGGATGGGGCATCTTCCTGACTGTGTTTATGTGTGTGTGTTTGTTTTTTCTTTGGTATCTATCTTGGTTGGTTTGTTTCTTTTTGTTTTCATTGTTTATGCCCCTAATTGCAGGTTCGATAACGGGGATCTTACTGTGCGACGGATGCCTTCTTTTTGTCAACACCTGATGGTTGGCTATCTCACTTCCGCTCATACAGCGTCTTATTAGTCTGGTATGATCAATTAGATACTAAATGTGATAGATCCCTTATCCTTTGATGCTTGAGTGGCTACTATACGTGCACTCTGAATCGTAATTTGTTGGGTATACTGACAACCAGTCCTTAAATCCAGTTACAAGGTTAAGCAATGCCCTTCTTCATAATTATCAACCAAGTACGCGTGCCGATTATCCTACCTCATATCCTGTAGAGTGAACGTTGCGGCAAGGAGAATTGCTGAGCTCGGGCGTATATGGAATTGAAGGCTTTGCGGTCAATGCGCACGATATTGCTGGATTCCTATCAATGACCTGCTAAGCCCGGATCTTGCGTGCTCGCCGTGGAATGCAGCCACATCATCAGGTTGGAAGCAAAGGCGTTTTTCTGGAGTCCAAGCTCGTACAATTGGAGCAGAAGCCCGGGGGCAATGGGCCAGAAGACAAAGAACGATGGCACAGGTGTTGGTATTGGCATGAGATTCCCTTGCGCGAGGCATCAGCAGACTTGTTCGTGCAGAGCCGTCAATGTGCGAGGCGAGCTGCAGGGCGCGCGCATTGGCCGTGATGAGGAGTTTCCAGGAGTACGGAGTACCAATTGCCAATACCTCGCAATTGGCCAATGATTTAGAGGGCCTGTGTGCGTTTATAGGCAAGGTGTGACAAAAGATTGCACCACAAGGGGGAGATGCAAAGGGGGTTGGGCTGGTGGTTGGTCCCAAGTTGTTGGCCAGCAAAGGAATTGGGCGCAAGGGGCCTTGGATATCATGTATCCAGGCATCAATTCTAATTTTGTCACTGCCAGGTCATCATCACTCACAAAGCATGGGGGAAGACGAGATGCTGCCCATCACATCACATCACATTTCAACAAACAAAAGCAAAAAGACGGCGGGTAACAGAGATGGAGAGCCGAGCCGCATTGAGCGTGCAGTGACCCCTTCTTCCACCACAGCGCTGCGGCTCAGCGAGTATTGAAACATCGAAAGGGGGGGGGGGCTTGGCTGCATGCTGTGGCCATTCATTCAGCCGCAGCTGGACAAGCAAACAGGCGAATCGGCGAGGCGGCGGCTGTTTGTCTTGCTAGTTGGTCCGCGGAAGATGCCGTAATGTTACGAGTAATAAGACCAGCATGTCGTGATATAAGCGGCCGGCAGTCGTGGCGCCACTGGCAAGACGTGCCATGTGCGGTAAACAGCAGTCGTGAATCGAGGCAAGCAGCGAGTTTGATGGTCGAAAGGGAATTTGGAGAGTTGAAAGTTGACGAAGGGAACTGCAAATGGGTAAGTTGAAGATGGAAATCACGTAAACATGCAGGGCTTGTCTTGGCAGGCGGTGGACTGGACCGATGAAGCGAGAGGGCGGCAAATTGCAAAGTACATACGGAGTACATGTACGGATTCATCTACCTTAGTACTACTAAGGTACTAAGTGATACCGCAGAGGAATAAAAAGCAAATATCAATACCTGGTATGGCCTCTTCAATACAGGTACCAACCACTGCCTGATTATCTTGATATCTGTACACCTGCTTTTTTCTTTTATAATTTCATCACTGAGCACCCAGCCAGTAACTTGGCATTAGTAGGAGCCATTGCCATGGACGACTAATACAATCCCCCCCGGGCCTGTACTAAGCAAATACGAGTACTAATCCTCACCTAATAATTCCATCATCACCTTGTCTTTTTCTTTTTTTCTCTTCCCCTTCCGGGGCTCGGTCTCGCACTTAGTTTCCATCCCCCGGCAAGACTCGGCAGACGCCTATCAAAAGTACAGCAGGCAAATCAACAAACAAGCCTGAGACCGAGACCGAGACCGAGACTGAGACATGCAGCCCAATCCAATTGCCTCTTGTGCCTCTTTTTTCCCTTCATTTCCCTCCAAGCACTAGCTCTGGGGCCCGGGCTCTGACTCGGTGCGGCTGCAACAGCCAGCCTCGGCGAACCCGTGGTCGACATTACGCCTGTATTACCACACCTCCGCCTCAGTTTAACTGTCTCTCTTTTTTCCCTTCCTTTCTCTTTTAATTTTTTTTTTTTTTTTTTGCTTTTTACCCTCCAAGCCCTGGTGTTTGATGCTAGGAATCATGGTGCCTCTTCTCTTCTTTAACATTTCCTCCGTCTGAACTTAAAGCCCTTCAGCCCCCCCTCCGTGCTTAGCTGTCGAGATAGAAAGACAATGATATGCCACGATGCAAGGATTGGCGCACATGATATCCGGTGATTGATTATTCGCACCCATCTATCCGAGAGCCTGTATTCCCACCTGCTGCCCTTCTGGCCTGCACCTCGCTGGCGTTTGTCTGGCATTCCTCCATCTTGGTCCGTCTTTTTTTTTTTCCTTTGTCTGGCCATTCGTCAAAGGAATGCGTCAATCAATGGCTCCACGCCGGACATCTGGTTCGGGCTCTGGCTTTGACTTGGGCCTGGAATCGTCGACTCTGGCTCGGGGTTTGGCATCGGCATCGACATTGCCGCCATCAGCACAACCACAGACGCAGACACAGACACAGACACAGACACAGACACAACATACACCAGCATCGATATCAGCCTCCTCGATATCAGCATCAGCATCAACTTCGTCGCCTTTTCATCGCTCGTCGCGGCCGCCTGCGCTCTCTGCGGCTTTTCTGTTCTCATCCTCAACTTCAACTTCAGCCGCTAGTCCTTCCTCTGGTTCTTCTACCGCTTCATCATCCACCGCGCCGCCGCAGCGACTCTCTTTTCCCTTTTCACCACTTCCGGCGTCTCCCGCGGCTGCTTCTCCCTCCGCCTCTGCATTTGCATCATCGGCGTCTTCTGCCTCTACAGCCGCTGCCACTGCCTCTGCATCGGCTTCTGCTTCTGCTGCTGCTGCTGCCTCACCATTTCCCTCCTCCGCCTCCACCGCCCGCCCGATTCTGCCGCCGCTGCCTCAGGTTTCGCCACTCAGCCGATTTCTGTCGGAGCGACCACTCTCACACTCACACTCGCATCTACACTCACATCTACATTCGCACTCGCATTTACACTCACACTCGCACTCACGCCTCTCCGAATTTGCCTCTCCACGGCCACCTTTTCCAGTCTCGCTCGATAGCCTCACCACGCTGCAGCCTGATCCCTACTCGCCCCTCAACTCGCCCTTCAGCCGCCATCCGCTGCTGCTTGGCCCGCAGTCGACGAGCTTTTGGTCCACCTACCGGAGCCAGCTCGACCAGCCGACCGACTGGCTGCAGGATGATTCTGCCGCTCCAAACATCGGCGTCCTTGCTGCCAGAGCCTTTGGTTTTAACCTGAGCGACTTCTCCTCCTTCACGCCCTTCACTTCGCAGCCGCCCTTGCTCCAGTCACCGTCGCGGCCGCCGCGACGTTCTCCAGACCTTCGCTTCCCCTTCGACTCCGGCACCCCTCCTGCGCCACCTCCGGCCTCAGTCGCGACACCAGCATCCGCTTCGCAAGCCGCCTCCGCTTCCTCCTCGGCGTCCGCAGCGCCTCCTTCACGTCACCCCCATCACGCCCGCGCGCCGACAGCAGCATCCGCTAGCCGGATTAGCGCCACGGCCGAGAATCCTGCCTCACCTCCAGCCTCTGGCCAAGGCTTCGCTCATCCCTCAAACTCTGCTGAAGCCGCTTTCGATAGCGACAACAGTGCCCTCGACGACCTTTTCTACGAGCTTGACGGCTTTCCAGGCTTCCCGCTGCCCATCGCCGATACCGCCAACCCGTCTTCTCTCTCCGCATTCGCCACCATGCCTCCGGCATCAAGACGATCGACACGCAGCCGGCTTCAGCCGCCCGAAGCTCACGACCCGTCAGCTTCTACTCCAAATGCCAGCAAACGGCGGAGGGTTTCGACTTCTGCCGCTCAACCCACATCCCTAGAGACTGTGATAGATGACGACGACGGCGAAAACTGGCCCTTGTTTGGCTCCACGCCCCCGAGAGCCGGGTCGAGCTCTGATTTGAAAAACGAGGACTTTACTACGATCGATCTCACCGAAGTTAACGACGTTCCTGAGGAGCTCAGAAAGCCAGAGGTGGATAACAGAGTCAAACTGTCCGCGTTCCAGTGCGTAATATGCATGGACGACGTGACGGGGTTGACTCTCACGCATTGTGGTAAGTTGCGCCTCGCCTCGAAGCTACAAGCTATAGACACAAACGTCACACGGACTGCTAACAAGTCCTCTAGGGCACCTATTTTGTGCCCAGTGCCTCTACTCCTCGCTTAGCATCGAATCAACAAGGGGCAAATGTCCCATGTGCAGATCCAAGATCGACATGAAGCCTCGCGAAAACTACTCAACCAAGACAAAAGGATACTGGCCGCTGGAGCTCAAACTGATGACGAGAACGCGCCAAGGCAAACGCAAAGCCCAAGCCATGGAGTAATAACGCCGTGCTTTACTTTCTTTCTTCTTTTTGTTAACAACGCATTACGAACATGATACCACTCCCTGTTTGTACGGATACCTCACCAAACGGCGCCGTTTTCATCCGTCTCGCCGTAACCGAACTACTTTCATATATCATTCGACAACAATATCACGACTCCAGCGATACATCTCAAGGGCACAGACGCAATATATATCAAGAACTGTTGCCCCTCTTCTATTCCCCACTGCAGCAGAAGCCGCTAGCTAGACTCTCGATTGCATTCGCATAAATATTTAGGCTTGCATATGACCTCTTTATATATAGCGTTACCATCACTACAAAAAAAGAGAAAAATATACTAAATTTGCAGTCAATCCAATTTTTGGTCATCCTTTCGTAAGACGTTTGCCTGTGAATTTATCATGAAAAGTGATTGAAGTTTGCATGTGATAACTAAAGCATACCATATCAACATGTTTCACCATCTGTGACTGCATCTTGATAAAGCTACTACTAGGTATAGACATCTATTGTCTCTAGACGACTTGCTTTCTCTTTCTCTACCGCCACAATTGCTCCTGCTACTTACTGCATTCCTATGAATCATGTATGATTCATGTCATGTCTGCGCAATCCCTTCCATGCAAACGCCCATCTTTTCTTACTTCATTCAAGAAAAACGAGCAGCAACTCAAAATAAAATAAAAACCACAAAAATACAAAGCACCTTGCCATTATCATGCCTTACATATTTCTAAAAAAAAAAACCTTAATAAAAACCCAGATCCTCTCTCACGCTTCTCGCCTAATGAAATAGCGGGTGGTCAAGCTGCTTGGGCTCTGGCAGGATATCATTTTCAAACTAGGGAGAGGATAAGGTTAGCACTTCGACATAATTCTCTCAAAAAGTAAGAAGACCAAAAAAGAAAAGAAAAAAGGCCTCAATGGCTTGAATTGGCTTACTTCCAAGAAGCTTGTTGCAGCAATGACCACCACCAGCGCGTCGGCGAGTTCTTCAATCCGCTCCTCTAGGCGATGGTCCTCATTCCCGGTGCCAATGCCGGCGCTGCGCTTCAAAGCGTGGCTGACAAGCATGCGGTGATCCGTCAGGAACTTGCGTCCTTGCGCCACGTTGTTATTCCCGCGGCTGAGGATGGCTGCGCCAATGATACGGACAACTCTGGCAAGCAGGTCGTAGTGCTGCTCCAGGGCGCGAGGGTTTGCTGCGTCGATCTGCAGCTCAGGGTCGGCGGCAAAGAGACCAGAGTTTTCCAAGGTGCGGAAAAGGTTGGCGTGGAGGATGTACTTGGCACCGGTGCGAGACTGGGCCAGCTGGAGGATGATGGAGAGGCGGGCATTTTGGAAGTTTTGCTGATCAGTGTTGTCTAGACACGAGGATTGTTAGCATGAGTATCTAAGAAGTGCTTTAGAACTCTGATTGGAAAAGGGGGGGCGTACTAGAAGCAAAGACATCATGCCACTCCTTCATGATATTTCGTAGAGAGTCAATGAGAATACCGATAAAATTCAGCTTGTTAAGCGTCTCGACAATATAGCTCTCTCGCTCTTGGCTGTCCATGTGGACCAAAGCGCCCAGGAAGATCAGGGCCGCCGTCTGGCATGCCGGCTCCCCGCAGTAGGCATCGTCGCAAACGACGTTGATGAGTCGCTCACCATATACCTGAACAGTCTTGAACGTCTTTGGACGGCTGGCGCTCAGGGGTCCGACATCTTCTGACATGCCCGTCAGGTAGCGGTAGCAAATCTCGTAATAGACAGACCTCAACTGAGGAGAGCCTGCCCACTTGCCAATGGCCTGGAGGCAGGTCTGGAAAAGCTGATACAACTTGTCGCTGACCAGATTGCCGATGGTTCCATTACTCTTATCCTCAGTTGAAAGAGGCGAGAGATCAAGCTTGAAGAGCAAGACCCTCGCCAGCTTGGCCAGCTCCAAAGCTTCCTCCGGACGATCTGAAGCGAACATTTCCAAACTCGGCAGAATAGCCTGCAATGCTTGAAGGAAAAATGACGTCTGTGCTGCACCTTTGTAGTCACAAGATTCAACCATGACCAGCAACACCTTGATCCATGACCGCAAGACTCGGAGGCATTGTGAGGCAATTTGTTTTTGCCTGTCAGACGAAATAAGATACTCCATAATCATAACCTCTTCTCTTTCGATAAGCGCCATGTCATTAGCCGCGATGACTGCATTCTGCTGCGCTTCTCCTCTCTTTAGCAAAAGGATCTCTCGAACTCGCTCCAGGTTGTATACTTGGTTGCCGTCGGCATCGTGCTCCAGACATGCAGAGAGATCCAGGTCTTTGTAGAATTGAATCGACGGCGGCGGGATCTCCCAAAATCCGTCTGGTAGGAGGAAGTCGTACAAATCAAATACAGTCGGAGTTTGTATTGTCTCATTGCTCTCTGAAACAATCTGGCCGTTGAGGGCATCGAATATGCGTCTCTTCACACCAGGCATACGTCCCTGTGCTATTTTGCAAAGTTCCATGGCTATGTATTCCATCGTCATACTTCGAAGAGTCAGAAACTCAAGTAGCGTCACGGCTCCGTCAGTCATTGGGAACTGCGAATTTCCAACAGTTTGGCCTTCCCAGGACAAGTCTGGTTGGATAACCGTCTCACGAGTAAGAAGATGGAAGAGAAGTTCATTCTCTCGAAGCTCTCGGACGACAATTGCGGATGACAGTGGTGAGCTCCAGAGGATATTTAAAATCCGCATCACGCGAGATTTGATGCCAATCAACCACTGTCTCATGCCACCAAGTGCATCGTTAGAGGGAGACTCCAGCAGGAGTCCCAATATACTGTGAAACAGTGAGGTGCGGGATGCAAAAGAGCTGTTGACTTCGACCGAGAGCGAATCCAATCCGCATTTAAAACCTAGCAGCAAGTGCGCAATGGTAGGCTCCTTTGGCGTCATTCGAAGACATTGATATAAAAAGTCCAAGATGTACACCTTTGTTACGTAGAGGGGGGAATCCGCTCCGCTCCCCGCTTCCAGAGGTGTCATTACTTCGGCGATGAAGGCTCGCGATATGCCTTCGTGCTCTCCATTTGCCTCCATGGCAACGATGGCCTTGTTTCTATGGGCGTGGCGACTAGTCCCAGACCAAGCAGCTGTGATCTTAGACGATGAAGACATCTTCTCCAGCAACTTGAGACAGGCCAAAGTCAAGTCAGGGTGACCTATGCCGCAGTATTTGCCCAAATCTACCACAAGATTCAATCTCGTCACCAGCCCATCCTGGAATGAGGCATACGCAGCATTCGCAACAGGTTGCCTACGTGAACCAGACTGGGTTTTGATTAGCGGACGAACAAGATCGAGGTAGGTCGTTTCAAGGTCAAGAACTTTTGTTATGACCTCTATCGCACGCAGCACACCCAAGATGAGCGGTGAGTCTGGAGTCGCGTTACCGATATCGACAGACTTTTGGTGAATGGTGTTAAAGAGGGCCGTCATCACTTTGTCGTTGAACATCCACTCCATCACTCGCGCAAACGGATGCATCCTGACGTACGTCGCCAAATCCGTCGTCGAGACTAAAGAGTCGATAGCAATGTTGGTCTCATTCGCCAAAACCAGGAGATCTTCGTTGAACGTGGTTAGGCAGGCAAGTATGAACTCTAGGCAGCTGAGTCTGAGCACTCTCGTTTGGTGAACGTCTTGCAGATCCTGGATCTTTGATGAAAAAACAAGGCCAATCACAAAATCGATATAGATTTCAATTCCAGGCGCCCGAGAGCTGGCACCAAGGTTCTCCGGAAATGGCAGCCCGTCGTTCAGAGGGTTGGAATCGCTTGCAGGGGTGACCAGTTCGAGCAAGAGCCTGATGAAGGACTCGGGATCCTCAAAGCCGTTGCTCATCTCGTCAAAAATGCGATCCATTGACACCAGGGGCGCCGGTTGCAATGACCGTATCGTGCCGGCAGTTGTTGCACCAACATACCCCCCCGATACCCAATTCTCCAGGCATCTCCACATTGCATGGTTCTCCTGAAGACTCTTGCGGCTAACTAGAGACTTCAAGGCCAGGAAGACGCAGCCACGCAGCTGAGAGGGTATAGGGCTGCTAGCCAACTCGTACAGCATATCGACAAGATTGTAGCCCGAGTTCAACAACAAAAACTGTCTGGTGATCTCACTCTCGCTCGCCAGTTTCGTTATCAGGCGCAGATAGCATTCAAGCATCATGGATGACTCAGGCTCGGTTTCTATGACATCGGCAGCCGGCTTTCCGCCCCGAAATCTAGTTGTCTGGGCTGGAGTAGGCTTCTGCTTGATCTTGTCGGAAAAGAAATCAAGCTCTTTGAATATCTGAGCCCATGTCAGGGACTGAGTCCTTCTCATCTTGCCAGACGAGTGGTGGCCTTCATCCAGGAGGAACTCATGGGCTGCGGTGGCACATTCGTCATTTACGGAAATAGCCTGGAGCATCTCGCAAAAAGCTGCAACTAAGGGCGTTGAGGCTCTCCGGGAAGCCCAGTGCATGAATCCAGCGAGATTGCTGTCTGGGTCTTGCCAAAAGTTTGCAGAGGCATCAGGTCGCCCCTCATAAGCGTATGCGATGATTAAAAGGAACCTCTCCAAATCCAGGTCTTGTTCGTGTGTCTGGCTGAGCTGGCGCTGCTCATCTTCTTCCACCCTGAGCTTTCGAAGAACATCAGGTAGATTGGTTATGAAAGCATCAACGAAAACCTCCAGCTGCGACATCAAACACAGCTGGAAAAAGTTGGAAAATTGAGTTCGCTCGGAAACCAATGGTGATGATTTTCGTTGCAGCCATTTGCGCATGCCAGCCCGAACAGAGTCGTGCCAGTCTGGAGATCGAATATCTCCAGCCACGGAGAGCATGAAGTCAAACGCGCCATCTTTTAACGAGTCTAAGAACTGCTTTGTCCTCTGACGGTCCTCTGTATCAATGTTAGCCGAGTTGAGATACAATGACGAGGAGAAATCCATACCTTCATCAAGGTCAGTGCCTGGCGGGATAGCAGATTCGGGAGGATCGTCTAGATACCATCCACTATACTCTGCCAGCCACCAGGCACGAACTGTAGCATGTAGAAAGGGAAGAGGCCAAGTTGAGTCATCCGAAGGCGGGAAAATCTTTGTGTCGAGCTCTCTTCCTTGCCTCAAGTCATAGCCTCCCTCAGATGATGCAAAGACAGACATGTAGGCGCCGATTGCTGGGACGAGGTGGACTATTATTCGGAGAAAATCCACGTTAGCTAAAACATATGCTGGAGAGACGCGCACGATGCAGGCACTGACCTAGTAATGTATCGTACTTATCCCACTTCTTCAACACGGAGATGAATTCTATAAATTCGGCGGTTTCGGCCTGCCTCTTGTCCACACACTCGCACAAGATGACTCCCAAAGCTTCGTGCTGCTGAATCAGGCTCACGCGAGAGAATTCCACGGTTTCTAGCTCCTCGGGCAGATCATCTGTGGGCACGTTGCCCAGAGTCTGAGCAGCTGTCATTTTTTCTCCCACCTTTTGTAGCCATGACTTGATTTCGACCATGGTCTGTAAACAAGTCGAAGCAAGGCGCTTTGATCCACCATGAGTTTTTCGCAGTAGGCGGGTCTCAACGTAAACTTTGATGGCCTCTAACGCGCTCGGCTCTTCTCCCTCGTAGTCCTGGTTATTCAACTCCAGGAATAGTCTGAAAGAATCCAGTGCGTATTTCCGCTGCTGATGGAATCGGATGACAGCACACTCGAGAAGCGATCGCCCCAGCACAGAGACATCATCCTGGGAGTCGAGAAGGTATCTGGCAGCTTCCACCTCGTCAAGGTCGATCTCGTCCGATAGCGCAAACACATCCTGCTGGAACTTGTCGTTGACCGAATATTCGTTGCCGTCAACAGAGACCTTGCCTAGAAGATGTCAGCTCTCACGTCGTTCCCTTGCTGGTTTGCGACGTCGTGCATCATACCGGTCTTCACCGTGCTGCGGCTCTTTTCGCTCTTCTTCGGACGCTCCCATAGTCTCCCCAACTCCTTCTCGAATATTTCAAGCAGCAGCTCGTTGCTCAAGTTGTCAGAGCTGCTGCCCGCACCGCTGCTCAGCGTCAAGAGCTCGCGGTGCAGCGCCTGGAGGGCGTCTAGTGTCGTAATCTCGGCCATCTTGGCGGTCAAACGCTATTGCATATTGGAATTGGAATAAGTCGCGATAACGGGAGCCGCCCAGAACCGCCAGACGCGCAAATCGGTGCCAGCCTGAGAAAGCGACCGTGTTGGTGGATTGGAGCTTCTGGATATTTTGGCGATTCTGCCAGCCTCGTTCGCGGCGGCCTTTGGGAAGGCGGTGAGGATTTTGCCGGCACAATCAACAAGTCCACGCTTGTGCCTAGCTCGAAACGCAGTTCTAGGCAACGGGCCGCAGCTCGTGGAAAGCCTGGAAGCAAGTGAATTGTTCGTTGTTTGAGCGTAAAAAGTCGCCTGTTTATATATATATAACGTGATTTCTTTTCCCGTGATTTTTCCCTTCTTTTTAATCCACGTCGTCCTTTTCCCTTCTTTATGATACTCTCATCATAGACACTCATACGCACTGCCGCTGCTGCTGCTCCAACGGCTTATTGGCGGCTGGGGCACTGTCGCGACGCGAACCACTCACTCCATGGCCAAAATACACATAGAAACCCGATTCGCATCAGCAAGCCTGCAATAGTCATATTATAGAGAGTAAACTTGGAGATTCGTTTCTTTTTTCGAATGCAAAAATCACAATGGCGTCCACTCAAGGAGAGAGCGTCATGCTCCTAGCGAGTGCGTGCTTCGCCTTCTCTTATAATGTGTCTTATTCCTACTAACCGTTGACTCCAGGAAGGGTGAAATCGGGCGGCGTTAAAGACCGTGAGAAAGCTTTAGGTGGTACGTGAAGAGCCACAGTTGCCCAAATCTGGTTCATTATTATTAATGTTTCTCTTTAAGATCTGGCCCAGTGTTTGAACCCAAGGAATGGATCAGCGAATCTGTATGACTTACTCGTACTTCCCCTGTGTCGTGGTGCCCCCCAGCTCTAACATTATCCAGATCTGATCTAGGAGACAAAAGCTACCACGAGATATTCGAAGCCATATTTAACTTCGTGCTCCATGAAAAGCCAAATTATTATGACAAGAAAAAGGCACAATCGACGGCGAATACTGCTGCAACACGGCTGTCCAAATGTGCGGCTGCAGTCAGGATGGCAGCAAGCCGTGGGGCCGCCAAGATAGGACGAAAGACGATGCTTGCTGTCATAGATCACATCACTCAAGTCTTGCCGGGACCTGATGAGGACTTTGTACGGCCGTTACTGCAAGATTATGTCAAAGCGTTGACAGAAATTGTGTCTCGGCCGGCCAACGCTGAGCTCTTTGCCAGAAAAAAGGCAGAGCCATGGCAGGCTTGTGTCGACTTATTTCTCGACATCGCCCACCATCTTCTTCCGATTGAATCCAACACAGTTTCTTTGCCTCACACGACGAGGCCTTCTCCCGCACCGACTGCCTCTTCTCGATCCTTGCCAAGGTCTAACTCGGCAACACAAGCCCAACGTCAGAGAGAAGGTAGCCCATTGAAAGATGCCCTCGAAGGCCTCTACCATCTAGTCTCAGCGGCCAATGCTCCGATCCTTCGGGGAGCGCAAGACATTATCAGCCTGGCCCTAAGAGTCTTGAATACCAAGCACCTTAGCCCCGGTTCCACGCAGACACTGTGTTTTTCAATCATCAACACAATCTTTCGAGCCACTGAAGCAGATAAGCTAGACGACGCGATTGCTTTAGCGAAAGACCTGCTGCCTCATATGGGCTACTGGTGGCGCGCGGAAAAGGTCTCTCAGGATGAACTCATCAAAGCTCTGAGGAATGAGATATGCAGGAGCATATATCTCATGCATCTACATCTGGAGCATCTTGCGGTCAATCTTTGGGACGAAAATGTTCGCAATGAATTGGAAAACTTGACCGAGCCTCTATGGCAGGAGTATTCCAAACGAAGCGAGGCGTTTCGTCTACAACTTGCTGATTTAACCTTCACCCCATCACCATCACGGGGCCATGTTATGCAACTTGGCTTATTTGGACTCCGTCCTCACAATATCGAGGGAGAAAGCCACTGGGCAATAGTTCAGAACCTTGCTCTCTTGGAGGCGATTTTGTTACGTCCTAAAAAGGATACCATCGACAACGATGCCGACAATAGAGAGCAACCTAGGAAAAGGCGACGGATCCAACAGGATCCAAATCCCATCAGAATCAAGCTCAAGTCGCAACATACCGGAGTTGTTCGAACTGCCTTGCAACTAGTTCCATTCATGCTTGTAACTAATACGCTGAGTCACAGTGAGGTTGACGAGCTTCTCGTAGACCTTGTCGGCTTTGCTGGAGACAAAAATGCCATCACAGCGTCTTGGGCCCTAATCGCCTGCGCCAGGTGAGATATCGAGCCCCCGTCTGTGCCTACCCAATACTAACCATGACTCTATAGCTGCGTTCTATGGTCCAAAGAGTGTCGACTTCAACAGGATATATGGAGGCAAATATGGCACTTGGCTGCCCGTTCAGTCAGCCTTCCAGCAACAAGTCGTGCTGCTTGTCTCTTACTGCACAGCATAATCGAAGTTGACGTTTTGCCATACCATAACCTGTCCGATGATATAAACAGCATCATTACAACAGCAGATATCAACGGACCTAGCGTATTATGCGACACGTCTCTAGCCTTGATGTCACATTTATTCCATGTTCGCAATTCGAGGCTGCCCAGCGCTAGCCATAGTACCTCAAGCCACATCATACGATGGGTTTTCCTGCGGTGGAATCCGAGTACGTTTCAAGGTTGGAAAGCTTTATGATACATGCTAATACTAATATCCTAAATAGGCGAGCTATCATATGCATCATTTCAATCTGCACACACGCGCCCTAATGATCTCGTCAATATTTTGCATCTATGCTGTGGAGCCCAACCCATTTCTTTAGCCTGCCAAGATGCCGTCTCTGGTGGTTCGTTGGGCGAGACATGGATATCCCAGAGAGAGATTGGAGACTTCAATGAGTATCTTCTCTTATTGGGACATGAAACTAGCGATACCATTTCCAACGAGTGTTGGTATTCATCAGCTAAAGAATCTCTCCCTCTGGCTGCAGATGCCACCAGCTTTTTCGCTCTCAAGAAGCTTGTTTTAGAGCTCCTCTATCCCAAACTCGAAGAGTTGAAAGACCTGTGTGTATCATGGACAAAGAAGGCCAGTGACGGCGGAACTCAGATATCATTTGATCGGTTTCGAAGCCTTATGTCTGCATGTATCATGGGAACGTTACTAATACCACATCTGAACGACCTCAACTCGACTCAGTCTTCCTCCATCGAGACGCTTCTATTGGAGCTAGCCGAGGGCGGTATTTCAGCCGCATTGAGTTCTGTTGAGCCTGCAGCATTCGTCGAGTTAACTTTGAAAGAGCTAAGGCCTTGCATACCTGAAATCAGCACAACCAACCTAGGCCAGATGTGTGCGAAGAGTCCAGGCATTCTCAATCTTCTTTCCAAGATGTCTGAAGTCATGGAACAGCGACAGGCAAGTCAGCGCTCAGGAGACCATTCAGACTTCATGGATCTAGATGACGATTTCGGCTCATACGACAGCCAAGTTGTGACGGCGTCCAATGCTTATTCAACCCCAAGGCAGAATATCCAGCTCTGTCTGAATCCTCAAGCATTCGATATCGACACGAGGCTGCGATTAGCACTTCTAAAACTCATCCACCAGGACAGAAGCCAACTAGGCCTGTTGCCATCTTCATACATCAAGGATCTCTTGAAACAGTCCGATGAGGAGCTACTCTCATGCCAGCGTCTCTTGATAGAGATTGTTAGATCAGACCTTATCATGGACGGAGAATCGGCTTTGGATATAGTCAAGAGACTTGGAGAGATTGTCGGGAAACCGGAATATCAGTCATGTGAAGTTGCGCAGACCACTTGCATTGAGGTGATTGACGGCCTAAGCAACACCTGGCTTCAAGATAACCAGAATCTGGCGGACATGGTTGGTGATCTATATATTCACTTCGTCAAAGTCTGCTTGCCTTCCAGCATTCTTTCTCCCAAGACTCAAATGTCCCTCGCCCGCTTATTATTCACTTTGTTGAGAATCAATCCTGAATACGGAAGTAGCCTAGGGCTCGATTCATGTCGAACCTCGCTGCTACTCATACTGAAGAAGGGTCCAATGAAGGTCAAATGCTTCATTGCAGAGAGGGTGGCTGATATATTTGAGCTCTATATTTTGATGCTGCACGATGAGGTTTTTGTCGATATCTTGGACAACCTTCCAGCAGACCCTGACAGTAGCGCAGGCATTGCCTTCCGTTTATTAGTTCTATCCAAGATCGCTTGCAGCTGGCCTACCCTTCTCAGGAGATGCACCTATCATATTTTTGAAACTCCAGGCAACATATCACAATCAGCCGATTACGCAAAACGATGTTTAGCTGACATATCCCTTGTCCTAAATCTCGGGTCTCCAACAGAACTCTTTCAGCTGTTTTCTCGCCAGCTGCTTTACACTTGGCTGGAAGTGAAGACTGTTGAAACCATCCCGTATTCTATCTTTGGATATGCCAGCCTTGGGGACTTGCTGAAATCTGCACAAGCTGAAGCCATCGGTCTAGCGATAATGAGAGGACAGGAGAATACAAGTGCCGACATAGCTCGACTCGTTGGTATACCAGAGATTCAGCTTATCCAACAAAACTTCGCAACCGCGCTGTCATATGGCTTACTATATGCGACTACGTTTGGGAGCCAAGAAAAGACAAAGGGAGAAGATCGTATCAAGCAAAAACTGGGCACAAAGCCATATATCGAGTCGGTATATATCCATTTCATCGACATAGTTGCCCTTTTGTTTGACCTTATTGATCAAGAAGATCCCGTGGAGAAGGTCTTTCTGAAACAAGCGCACCTCAAATATGCGGGCGAAAATTTGGAAGCAATCAAGGCTATCTCACATTCACCTGCCAATCTTCCACCGAATCAACAACCAATGTTCAGAGTCAAGCCTGTGTTTAATGAACTGATCCGCCTTTGCCAAGGCACGGAATACCAATTTCATGATCTCTGGACGCCAGCCG